TCCCCTGAACAGGATTGTTGCTTTTTAAGGGATCATTGTCCAGTTGTATGATCTGCATTGGCCAAAGCTCGGCTATGGGTCAGATGGCTTCCTTTCACTCAGGAATACTTTGAAATACTGAGATGTTATTGGAATATTCAAAGACAGCAGTGTGGCCAGGTCATATGGCTGCTAAAGGAACCCTAAACTTCACTCTATTATCAGTTTGAGGTGTTTGCGCTGATTTTCTTGCACATTTCTATTGTTGATGTTTCTGTTTGCTGTCATCGTACATTTCTACTTTACTCCCATCTTTCCAGAGATGTGTGGCTTATTTAGGGGCAAATAACACTCTCTCCCTTGGAAAAAAAGAAACAAAAATAACTTCCCCTTAAATATTTTGGAAAGAAGCAACAGGGTACGCTGTGTGAAGTGAATTTTGTTCCATTATTGTTGCAAGCCAAACATATTTTAGAATTTTTTTGTGTAATATAATCCAGAAATCAACATTTTAGGAAGCATTTTATTCAAAAAAGGTTTTGAGAGTGAATTTGCTACCCTTAAAATGTTAATATAAAAGAATATTCAAACTTTCTTTTTTTTTTTTCTACAGATTTATATTTTCATGTTCTTTTCAAATCTTTGATTTTCAGCTTGAGTTATAGAAATCAAATTTTTTTTTTTTCCTAGTTGTTTCCGGATAATATTCTCTTTGCTTTAAGCATGATACAATCTCTCACCCCGCACGTGCACATTGACTAATAAAATGTTGTTGCTAACGTCCAGAAGATGAATAGAAACAGACCTTTGCTCTTAACTCCAGAGGAAAGCCGTCCCCAGAAGTTAAGAGAATAAGATCTTGAAAACACAATTTTAAAAGAATTAAATTCATAAAACCTAATCTGAAAAACACAAAACATTGAAAATATTAAGAGCTGAAAAAAGTTGAAAAAAATATTTTATTTCTGCTTTTTATTTTTTCTGCTAATTTCCGTTTACAAAAAATTTGTTTGCAAAAATAATGGATCAAAATTCAATTCAAAATCATGTATTAATTTAAAATGTCTTTTATTTTGAGTCTTAATGCAGTTGAGGCAATTTGCTTTGTAGTAAAACAAACAAGTATGTAATATATATATATATATATATATATATATATTAGTGTAATATCCAGTGTGTACTGTTTAATTTAAAATTTTTTATTACAGTTCCTTAAAAGTTTAATTGTATAGATCTAGGCAAAGTTTAATGAGAATTCCCTTAATTAAAAGACTAGAACTGGGCAAAATGTTGTAGAGCTTGGGATAATTGTTCTCATTGTAGAATGAGAGGTGTAAAACTTTTAAAAACATTTTCAGAATGTTGGAAACCATCCCAGAGGAGGTTCCTGTGTTTGCTGAAGTGTTTCGCGCTCTGCATCGTGGTAATAGGCAATAATCCGTCATCATTCCTAAAGAAGCAGGTAATACGGATAAAGGTTTCACAACAGAAAAGTTTTCTAACTAAAAGCTCTGTTTATATTACATCAGCTTTATGAGCAATATCTGACAGAATAACCTAGTCTTAGATAGGTGGATTCCTTCAGTCAGGGCCCATTTAAATAAATGCTGTCAATTTAATACCTACTAACAAACCTTTATGCATGAACCGTTCTAGAAATGGTGGTATTGTCATGGACTTTTAAAACGGCTGAAATTATTTTTTTGTTAATTGTTTGAAAGCAAACGCATTCATTAATTGCTGATAAAGTGAGATCTAATCCAACTAATATAGTTATCTCATCTCTAGAGCTGCAATTTGGAATTCAGCTCTATTAAAAAGAAGTTTTACTGTGGATTGTTTAATCTGTTCTACTATTTGTATTATACATTTTAAAGTTACTAAAGAAACATACTTCTTCCTCTGCTTATATTTTCTGAGCTCTGTTTTCTGAATGAAAACCAAACCGTAGTCTATACACACTCTTATCATATTACACCCAGAAGTGTATACGTTATTGTTATTTGTAGAGATTTAGAATTTTCTCACCTCCTCCAAATAAGTCATTAATTATTCATAACAGAGGCAGAGGTGAAGGTCACATGGTATAAAGGAAATGTCTGTTTGTTTGTTGCTCTTATCTATAACAGAAGTTAGAAGCTTAAAAGAATGGGAGGGGGGGGGGGTGCAACATGGCTTTGAAATGTTCAGCCTTTCTGTTGTCTGCTGAGGTTTTACACTTTTCAGAGTAGCAGCCTTAAAATAAAGCTCAGGTACAGTATCTCTTGATCTCTCGTTTGCCTTGTTGGGTTTTAGATTGTGACTTAATGTTTGGTTTCTCACTTACTGGTTTAGGTGAAAACGATTCAAATTGACTTAGTCTAAATGTAATGTATAAAGTGAATTGTGTTCCTTTATTGTGGCAAGCAAAAAACATAGTGTTTAAAATGGAAATTTGAAAAAGAAAAATGAAATCCAAAGAGGAAACCTTAGAAATCTTAATCCAAAAAGTTTTTGAGATGAACTGTTTTCTCACATGTTTTTCATTCAGTTCTATATTTTTAAACTTTATTTTTCTTGTAAAGCTGTTATAATTCCAAGCTTTTTTCTTTTAATTTCTCTCTTTCAGATTAATAATTAGGAATTTAATTCTTTTCAAATTTGTTTACCGATCACATTCTCCTCACTTCAATCCCGATGTCAGCGCTCGCTCTTGACAAGCGCATTGACTGCATGGAAATTTTTGCCTCTCCTTCCACAGGAAAGCCCGCCCACAGAAGTGAAGAAAATGTGATCTGGAAAAATCAAATATAAGGAAATGCAATTTTTACATTTCAATCTCAAAAAATTAAAGTGTACAATATAAATTGACTACAAATATGGAAAAACCTTTAAAAAAAACAAACATTTGATAAAATGAAAAAAGAAATAAAAAATTAAATCTATGAAAACAGCAAATTTACTCTCCAAATTATCTCGTGGCTAAGAAGGTTTTCAAAGATTTCTGTCCTAATTGAATTTTTTCTAATTTTCATATACAAAACATGTTCTTTTGCTGCACCAATGATGGAGCAGTAAAAGAACTACTCTCTTTGGAAATGCAGTAAACTGACGTCCCATAAAGAAGAACAAAGATAGCTTGGTTGTAATTATAGTTTCAGGGATTTAAACGAGAAACACCCTTCTTCTAATTACAATTAAAATAATAATAGAGCATGAACCAACCTGTGATATGAACGTTTGGAGGACTGAAACATGGTGGCACCCTTACCGAAAAATTAGCTGGTTCTAGTTGGACAGAACTAGCGCTTGAGGACCTGGCATACGTCATTTACCTAGTTGTCATAATTGGTTTTAGAGATCTGACCCACATGCAGAGAACCACTCAGAGACCAAGGGTAAAGTTGAACAGGTTTATTGAATGTAGAAAAACACTGAAGAGGAAGCTGGAACTCAGCGGACTGGTGAACCGGAAAGTCTGAAGGGGAGTTCACAGTGATCAGTTCAGGGACTGTAGGAAAAATGACTGAGGTGTGAATATGCTGGAGAGAGACTCACTTTTTGGGGGCTCTTTGTTAATCCTTGAATCCAGTTTCTGGAGGTTTAATCCAGAGAAGAGGGAACTCGTTGGAGAGTGGACAGGCAGACACACGTTGAACCCAGAGGAGTACAGGAGCGGACTGTCACTTGGTTTTCCAGATGAGGACTTGAAAGGATCGTGTGGAGATTTTCCCCTGCTCTGTGTGAACTCCGTAAATCCTTCCAAGGGGAGAAGGTCTAGGCTATCCAGTTATACAGGGGGGCTTCCTGCCAAAGAGCAAAGACAAGAAACAAGATAAGACTCAGAGAAACAATGCTAAGGTTTAGACTCTGCTAATTTCAGCTTGGCTAGAGTACCCAAAACTGGCAAACAATCTGGCGTCGAGGTAGTGACAGCCCGCTGCTCAAGTACTCCTCCAGTAATGACCCAACAAGCCGCAGGAGTGCAGGGAGGCCCAATGAGGACAGGGCACCACCTGGTGGTGGAGAGAGGGAAAAAAACACAAAAACAACCCGCACAAATTGGAATCCTAACACTAGTATGCATTGCTATTAGGTAAATTACCTAACATACAGCTTATAGTACTATATGTACTGTATTTGATTTTCATATATTTCTCAAATAAAGTCTATTGTCAGAACTAATCATAGATCCCTTTAAGAAACAATTGGTCAGCTTAAGTAATTAGTAATTACTCTAGTCCTAATGTTTTTTTGTGTGTGTGTGTTCACATTATTAGTCTTAAAACCTAAAGCCATTTTTTTTAGTAAACTAAAATAGATTTCTGTCTGCTGCACATTTGGATGACGGAGAGAGGAAGCTCTACTTCTGGAGCCAACCCCAGGCGACCGTTCAAGGAATGTTAAAGTGCAAAATTCAGGCTGCCACTCAGGCTTGAGCTTATTCCTCAGCCTCAGGGGCTGGTAAAAGTCCATACATTTTTATACAGCTAGATAGGTCCTCCTACTCTAAGTCAGAACTTCTCTACTATTTCCTTTCAGTCATCTCTCTGGTGTCTTGGTCCTGCCATTTTAATGTGGACATTTTAGCCTTTCCAAACTTGTGAATCCAAAAGTATGTCAGCAACGGGGGCCATCTCTACTGCTGCATTTATTCCTCCTGGTGTAAAAGTGAAAAACTGGGATGCAATGTAAATTTTATGACTGCCTCCGCCGCTGCTCCTAGCAAAATGAGAGTGCCAAAAAAACAAAAAAAATTGCCCTGTGCTGTAGTTTTGTTACTCTATGGATTAAACATATACACTGTAAGCCTGCTGTTGTTATTGTCTGCTTAATGTTTCTGCATTGAAGAGATGAGGAGAAAAGCTTTCCTTAATGAAGTCAGAAGAGGATTAAGAGTAAACAAGTTGTCAGGGTCAGCATGGAGGCTAATTAGGAGAGTTTTAATGATGTAATAACTTTCCAGTTGAACTTCTTTTGCCATAGCAGGATAGACGTGTGATAAAATTTTTTTTCCCTGTCCGTGTCTTTGTTCTTTTCAGGAACCTGCTGGATAGAGACACGTTCTCCAAGTCCGATCCAAGTAAGCTTCTCTCTTATCTGTTTATGTTTCATGGCCAATCTACCACCCATCCCCATGTCACCCATAGATCCACACAATGGCTCCCCAACAGGTTTTAAGAACACTCAAATGTATTTATAATACCAACCCGCATGTGTACACTTTGATGCCGTTTCTATAGACAAGCATGCTCCACGTGCCAACACGTCATAACTGAGCAGGAATCAGCTTGGCATGCAGCACAAATAGACTCACAAGCACTCATAGAGAGACGCACGGTTTTGCTTGTGTGAATCAGCAGGCATTTGCATATGTCGGGTCGTATTCGTCACTGCTCTCTGCTCTTGATGTGAGTGAGGGGTACCAGATCATCCTCACACAACGTCCCAGCCACACTCACATGGACACACAGCTCATTTGCTTGGCAGCTGGGGTTCAATTGGGTCTGCTGATCTAGTGGTTTCTTAAAGGTCCAGCCTACACCTTTAACAATAATAACAAAAGGTCCCATTAGCCTATTAATCTGAACACCCTGACAGCATACACTCTCCTTTGCTTTTAGCTTGTTTGCATTTGGTTAGCCACTTTTGTGCTTTACAGTACAATCAATGATAGACCTGTTTGAATTGGGTTTTGTTTAGATTAGGGATCTTCAACAGGGGGTCCACGACCCCCAGGGGGTCCACTGAGGTGCTGCATGTTTTTTTTTTTTTTCTTTTCTTTTTTTTTATATTCCCCTTGCAATTTTATCCACTAATTGACATGTCTTTAAATACAAATTAACATGAATCCAACACACTGTAGTAAACAGATAAATGGAGGCAGAAGATGTCTTTAGTTATCAAAGCACACATTCAGCGACACATAGGACCTCTTTCACGCTGGGCACAGTCTCATTCACAACACCTGTCCCATCAACCAGGAATCAGAATCAGAAATACTTTAATAATCCCAAGGAGAAATTACTTTCGTTACTCCATCTGTAATGGAGTGACTATAGGACCAGTTTGATATAACACAATTTCATACAAGATATATAATTAGGGGGTCCCCGCTCCATCTCACCATCAGTTTGGGGTCCTTGGCCTGGAAAACGGCCCCTGGTTTAGATTATCTTTTTTTTTTTTTGATATGATTGCAGTTAATTTTTGCTTCAAAAAATGTCATGTGAGGAAAGTCAATAATATCCATTAGCCGCTCAGAGCTATTATGGTATTGGAGGTCACAACCTGTCATAGTGAATAAGAGTCAGCTTCTATAAATGTGCATCTGTATGTATCTTAGCCATAAAAATACATAACTACAAAAAAAAAGGTAATGTAGATTGGTATATAAGGCAGAGAAATGTATTACTAGTTTATTTTTCATAGGTCGCCTGAGCATCAAACCAATGGTTTCATTCAGGTTTTGGACCCAAATACAGAGAGATTAACTCCCAGAAGACATGAAAAATAAGGTTTAACAAATTCATTGGCAACAGTGTGAAGGGCAGGAAATGTGAGTAGATTCAAAAACAGCGGTTACTAATCCGAGGAATCAATAGATGGCGCCCTGCTCCTCTTAAGCACGCAGGTAATGAGGCTGATGATATGCAGGTGCGGCGGCACCTAGGATATCATCATAATATCATAATATTATCATAATATTTGAGAATTTTTGATACGATGGGATTAAAAAAAAATTACAAATAATTATGGAACTTTACATCATGCTGACCCAAGAATATGACAACTGTAAAGGTGTTTTCAGACCAAACATGAATGTCATCTTGGTTCCAGCACAGGTGCTTTCTGCCAGGCAGACTGCTCTAATCTTCTGTTGTCCTCCTCTGAGCTCCCTCTGTTAGCTTTCAGAGCTACTCTTTTCAATTCAGTTAATTTCTATAGTGGCAATGCACAACACATCCTCTCAAGGCACTTTACATGGCGATACAACCAGATCACACAGTCAGATTGGTGAACGTTTTCTACATAGGAAAACCAGCTGATTGCATGCACTCATTAACTTGACAGCAATGAATCACACCAAAACCCTGCATGTAGTAAACAGCGGAGGGGAAAACTCCCTCTGACAAGGAAGCAACTCTGGCAGAACCGGGCTCAGGGTGAGTGGCCTTCTGCTGTCTATGGTTCTAGGTGACAGAGGCGGATGTATAAAACATAGAAGCACTGATCTATAAATACTTTCATTCTATGTTAGAAAAGGTCACAGTAAACTAGCTCTACAACTGGCTCTATCTGGGAAAGAAAAAGTTAAACAATTTAGCTCTGAGCTAGTTTATGTCAAAGGGATGAAAGATTAGCCATAGCCAGAGAAACAGGCCCAAGCACTAAATATTGGGCTTAGGCATCTTGTTACTGCCTGGCAGATATCTCCAATCTACCACTGTCCTCCTTTGATCCACTGCTGGTAGCTCATGACCCTAAATCCAGGTCCACCTTGTTGAGGTGGAACCAGCAAGCATGACAGATATTACAGAGCGACAGCCCCTGAAAGCAGTGTTGATTTTCACCGCCATCTTAAATTTAGTCTTAGTGTTCGTCTTCATGTTTTTGTCACATTTTAGTCATTACGATATGTATCCGTTTTATCCAGTTTTAGTCGACTAAAACTCAAAAAGGTTTTAGTTTAGTTTAAGTCAATTTTATGTTGCACTTATTTTATGTTGCTGTCATATCTACACTCTCTATAATTACCCACCCATCTTACTTGCTATGAAAGACCGCCACTCTTACAGTTTGTTCATTTACAAACTGACCTCAACAAATGGGAATGCCTATAACTCATCTCCCGGTCTGGGAGATCTTGTAAGCGCGTTAATAGCAACATTTCACGCACCCAGAAGCGATTAAAAGGTGATTGATAGTACCTACAGACTTAAAAAATTAACAGAATGCAATGAAATATTTGCTTTCAATATAGTTAGGGATTCCTTTTTGTAGAAATTAAAGTTTTGCATAACCTCTTTTGATGATGAAATAAAACCTGATAGTTAGAACAAAAGTGTTGTTTTACGCTTGGCAGAGAATGACCAACAACTTATAGTTTATTAAGTAGTGAGGGCAGGGAGTGCCATATTGCTGAGAGTGAACCCTCAGTGTGGAGCAAAAGTGCAGACTCTGAGCTAAGCGGGTGCAAAGACGTATTTCTGCACACCTGGAAATGCTGAATTTGTCTGAGTAAAGTGCTGTACCAGACCTTTCCAGCCTACTTTCACCCCCGCCACTGCCATGATCCATCTGTGGTCATGCAGAATGTGCACCGCTGCACACCAGGTGGGCTGCATGACCAAACAGGACACAGCAGCACGTCTGATAACGCTTAGCAGTTTACAGCACAATTGTGCATTTTAAACGTCTGACAGACCACCCGCTGACATTTTTATTTAGTTTCGTCTCATCAACGAACACTCACAACATGACTTGTCATGGTTTCTTCATCAAAGATCCATGTTTACCTCGTTAATTTTCCTTATCGTCATGAAAAAAGGAGTCTCAACGAAATAACGATACCGCCTTAAAGTTAAGATTTTGTGGAGACAATCGTGTTTTGTGTGAACTCACTGAAACACGATTGTTTCATTGGCTTTTTGGTTGGCTGTTTTAAATTTAAAGCACTAGGTCATTCATTAACTGGGTATTTTATTGATTTTTGGTTTTGTCTTGTTTTTAATCGAACTCTATCAACCTCCGGCGACCCGGTGGACCTTAAAGGAGAAGTTCGGTTTTTTACACTTTAAGCCCATTTTCTGTAGTGTCCAGGATGAAATCGAATGATCGACACCAAAATTTTGACAATTGCTCCTGTCTCTGCTTTTTGGCTCATTTAGAATCACCCCCTGGCTGCTTTAGAATGGCTTTCATAGAGCATGTCAGATAATGTCCTTAAAACAACCTTAAACATTCTTTTTTTAAAATATGCTACTCACCGTGTCGTCAGCGCTGTTCAATGACGTTCCAAAAAAAGTTTCGTGAAGAAAAAACGTTCCTGTAGTGTTTTATTTAGCATTTTGTAAATCCCATTGAGTTCTGTAGGAATAGTCAATATTCCGCTGCCACCGGAAACGGAAATGGGGCCTGTTTACACAGTTGTAGTCTTTTCGCTTCACTCTGTGTACTCCGACGTCGAGAATCAAGAATCGACCTTTCGTATTCCATTTTCAGAGTTTTTTAAAGTGTTTAACAGAGACGTTAGCACCTCGACGTCGGAGTACACAGAGTGAAGCGAAAAGACTACAACTGTGTAAACAGGCCCCATTTCCGTTTCCGGTGGCAGCGGAATATTGACTATTCCTACAGAACTCCATGGGATTTACAAAATGCTAAATAAAACACTACAGGAACGGTTTTTCTTCACGAAACTTTTTTTGGAACGTCATTGAACAGCGCTGACGACACGGTGAGTAGCATATTTTAAAAAAAGAACGTTTAAGGTTGTTTTAAGGACATTATCGGACATGCTCTATGCAAGCCATTCTAAAGCAGCCAGGGGGTGATTCTAAATGAGCCAAAAAGCAGAGACAGGAGCAATTGTCAAAATTTTGGTGTCGATCATTCGGTTTCATCCTGGACACTACAGAAAATGGGCTTAAAGTGTAAAAAACCGAACTTCTCCTTTAAGTGGGGGTAATAACTCAGAATGCATAAAATGCCACCGGTAAAATTTTTACCAGCAGGTGGAGCCATTGTGCACAGCTCCAAGCTGACACCAAAAGTTCCAATCCCCACGGCTCTGGAACTGTTATAGCTGGAGGTGTGAAATTTTCTGCATTTGTGGTTGACATGATGTAGAACAAATATAATACAATAAAATCTGCCTTTTCTTAAGAATGTCTTTATTACTGCTGTTCAAAAAAGACCTATCATTTCTGAGAAAATAAAAAAAACAACTTTGAGTCATGTTTGAACTGATGCAGGTTGGTCTGTGTTCTAGTCACCCAATTTTGATTTATATATTAGGAAACTAGAGGGTGTTAGCTTTCAAATAACGTATTGGACATGTAATTTCGGGTCACAGTTCCT